AAACTTCTGTGAGGGAGTCRGGTAAAGACAGATTTTTTGGGGTGTGCATCGATGGACTAGCAAGTCTGGGACACTGTGGCACCTAGACAGGCTGACCCCACAGAGTCTGTATATTGCACCTCCATGTGGGAAGAGCTTCAGAGAGCACAGGAGAGTCAGGAGCTTCCCACACTGGCTGCTGCAATTACAGCGCAGGCTGAAAACAGAGCCCCTTTGTGGCGTGAATACAAACAGCCAAAGGCTGGCACTGCTTTGGGAATGTTATAGCTTAATGGAAAAGAATGGGAGAAAGGGAATACTCATGTTTTTATTTTACAGTAGAACCACAGTGCTTTGAGATTTGTTCTTCAGTTCACAGTGGTGTTTATTTAGGTGCCTGATTTCCATGCAAATCTTTGAGAATTCGGTACTTCGCATGTAAGCATCAATGAACTCACCCCAAAACATGGGAAGAGAGCACATATTTTTTGGTGCCTGCCATCACATGCCATCACTGTCTATCAGAGGCAGGCAGACTGCTTCCCTTTACTATCTGCCTTCCTGCCAGCACTGCTTTCTCAAGGCTGCGGTAGCGCTGGTAAACTCTCTCAAGTCTGTGGCTGTAAACAGGGCTCCCCAGAAATGAACTTTATCTCCTGATCTGATAACCAAGGGCCAACTGAGGAGGCCACAGGAAGTATCTGGTCCCCAGCTTCTTGCTGCTTACAGACTCAAACTAATCCTGACACTACAGAAAAGTCAGTAAAAAGAATCTTCTGTAGGGGATTTTAAAATCTTGGCTTCTGCTCTTCTCAGGCTTTTCAGAGTCCTCAGCAGCCTTGCAGCTGTCATCAGGCTTCAGGGGCTCCTGCCCCCAAGGAACAGGGAGGATTTMAGCCCATGGCATGATCTGTAGCTTGAGTGTATCAAAAGCCCAGAAGCTGCTAGAGCAGGCAGTGAGGARCAGTTCCAGCTTTTGCTGYAAAGGGCACACYRTATTTTTGTGACAGRCAATGCAGAATGGGGGGATCAGTGGCAGATATACAAATTGCAAAGGCAGGCTGGGCACCCCCAGCCTCTCAGCAGCACTGAGCAGTCAGTGGAGATGGACTTTATGCTGTACTTTGGTGCCTGCCACAGATGAGTGGCTAAAGGGCTTGTGCCCTCAGAAAGCAATTAAACAGTCTGTGTGGGTGGTTGTGCCCTCCTTCGGGCAAAACGAAGAAATTTTGAGTGTCATTCACTTATTAACGTAGGATCAGAGTTTTCATTGTGATACTGCTGCCTTCAGCTACTGGTAGGTGCTTGCTAGCTCACCCAAAACATGGGTATCATTGAGATGGTGACCTTGCTTATTGGGTACTAATTGCCACAGCTTAAGCCTCTATAGCACCCATGCAGATCCTAAATAAAAAAATTAGAAGTCCAATCATGTGCTGTGCATAGGAAAATTTAAGGAAGTGTACTTGAGGCCTTGTGTTTGCATTTGTTTTTACCAAGGTTTCTTTTTAAAAGCCATTTTAGAAACAATTTATATCCTCCTTGCCTGCAACTGCAAAATCCTGGGTTTTTAAAAGGATTTTCCTAAATATCACAAAGCCTTTTCCCCACTTTCAGTAATCTGACCGTATGCAGACCAATGCTTTCCCGTTCCACGTTTACGTTTGTGTTCTTTTCCTTGGAGGATTTGCACTCTCTCCAGCAGGTGGTAGCAGCCTCCTTCAAGCTGTGCAGCTCTCCGGCCTGCTGCTGCAGAATTGCTGCCTGGTGATTCATGTCCCTGGCTGCCCTTGGCCTCACTTGATCTCCTTACCCTCAACTGCATATCTGAACTCCCCCGTGGAGAAAGATCTTCTGTTTAGGTCTAGATGTGCACTAAATTTACCAGCAGCGTGAATCACAGCAAGGTGAGGCAGCGGCACATCACAGGGACACATAAAATGCTTCGCTGTTATGTATGATTTACTGCTARAGTTTTCATAGCACTGTCATGTTCTACCCATCACAAGATGAGTGCCTCATAGATGGAACAATTCAGGGATATGCTTCCTAAATACAAAATTCAAGATCTAATGTCTCGTCTAGGCAGCAGGATTAGCTGAAGCAGTGACAGGTTACAGACAGGCTCTGTCTTCAAATGAAATGGAAACTCAGTCTGCTTTGTATTTCCACAAGAAGTCCTCTGCTATGGCAGTGTAATGAGTGGATGTAATTACATTATCCACTGATATATGGCCTTTGATTTTTAGCAGTTCAGTGAGTTACTTCCCTAACTTACTCAGTACAAAGTTGTGCTTATGGTGACAAACATCTGGGGTTTAATTATGAATGGTTGAATGCTATGGAATTTATTGTCCATTTGTTTTTTTTTTTTTTTTTTTTTTTTT